GTCCGGTGCGTCCAAAGCGGAAGGAAGAAAGAAAGAAAGAAAAAAGAAAAAAGAAAAACCCTGAAAAGCTCACTTTGCTTTATGAGTCCCAGGTAATGCCATTTGGACAGTGCTGGGAGTTAACAAAGATATTTTCTTATAATCCCTATGTGAAGCCAGCATAGTGTGCATCTTGCGCGGGGTGGGGGGAAGGAGGGATGGGTGGGGACAGCAGCTCCAGATTCATTGAGAAGATTTCTCTTTTCTTCAAGGTCAGGAGCTTTGTATTTGGGGCACTAGTCTGAGATTCTGTTGCTGTGTGATTAGTACTTGGTGATTGGTACCTGGTAAATAAATAAATAAATATTACATATAGTGATGACTGTATTTGGTTAGGTAATGGGGTAGTCCAGGGACTAAGGCAATATCAGAATCTAAGACGGGTGCGCACTGATTAAGCAATGGGCAAGCTGTCCTGCACCTGCAGATATTCATTACTATACCAGGATCCCACCTTAACACCTTTTGGGCATCCAAAACAATAGGAGGAGGGACTGTGTACAAGAACAGCTAGAGTCTAATTCTCTAGGGCAGCATTCAGCCACATAATCATGAAATCATTCTGTCTCTTGCAGTTCCCCTGCCTTATTCACCACTTATCTTCCACCTTCTACAATTACTGAGGCAGTGGTCCTGCTCGTGAAATTCCTTCAGTACACAACTCTGATTCATTCCCAGAATCTGTCCACCCTATCCATTAAATGAGGCAAGCAGCCTGTGGAAGAAAGTGTCTTGTAATTTAAAGACTTTATTATAGCACGCACAAACAATGGGGCTGAATAAGTTTGCGTGTGGCTTTATTTGGACAGATTTTCACAGGGACAACAAAAGGCATAGTCCTGACAACTTTCAAGTCCCTGTTCCAAAGCAGGGTTGTATTTAAGTTATTCTGAAGGTCACCAGAATTTTGGTAACAATGCAAATTGCCCTTTTTTTCTATCTGTAGTCAAAGGGCTGGTTGAATCACTTCAACTAAAGCTTTGCAAAAAAGCTGGCATAGAAAATTTCAGCCCAAATAGTTAAAGTTTGCCAAAAGTTATAAGCAACTGAAAAAGGGCGTTATAATGACAGGTGCCTGGCTGCAATTCCACCTATTAAGTCCTTATAATTTTATGTTTCTATTTGAATGAGGGCTTTAATGCTGAAAAATAGTTTTGTTGTATGTTTTATTTTGTTTTAAGCAAATGTGTTTACAACCTTTCAACACCACCTCTTTATACCTCCCTGACCACTCCCTCTTCTTCCTTCCCCCTCAAAAGTTTAAATAACATCAAATCTTCTCATATCACAAAAATAGTGAAACCTTTTCAATTGTTAGACATAAAATTAAGAATTTACCCACAATGTTTGCACCAAGATTTCATTGGTTATGTGTGGAATCTAAATGGCTAGAATTTCAGTAGACAGTTTTAGTAGTCTATTATTACTCTGTCTCATGGTAATGCATACAAGACCCAACCTCATAGTGTAGTTACTATATAAGCATATAGCAAGGAGAGTGTCCCTGTTCCAATGAATGTCAAACTGGTACTGCCATCTCTGAACTCACCATTATATTAAATACTGTTAATTAACCTAGTGGTAAGAATGCTGGAAGTTGTCAGATCCTCATCTATATAGACCATCTGCAAGTACACTTTAAACCGGTGATAACATCAGTGAGAACTTCCTGAGATAAACACAGCCAGTAAGTGAAAAATTTCTCTTAGCACATAGTTATAAATAAACAAACTCTAGGTTATTTTGGCAAAGGGAAAAGAATTGGCCAAATGTAAACATGAGGAGCCTGCTAACAGGCTCCCTTTAGCAACACCTAGTGATGCACTTTTTGTTGGGCTGTCAGTGTAATCAGTAGAAGTGCTTTTTATGAAAGGCTTATTACTTAGTTGATGATGTTTAGTAAAGTGCATGCTCAGGGCTAGAAATTATCATAAATGCTTCCCTAAGATTATAAATATGCAGTGCTGGAAGGGACCTCCTGGACCTTCCATGTTTTCTTTGATTTTTAACTCATGATTTTCTTTGATTGTTTTAAAAAAACAAAAACTCCTTAAAGATGGAACTTGGTAAGTTTAGAAGGAGAGTTTCAATGTCATTTTCTGCAGTAGATGGGGACTGAACGTCTTGAGCCAAGATGTCCCTTCCTATTATTAGACTTGTTAGGCATGTCACATACAAAGGTGCTGGAGCTTGCAGGACTGACACACATAAAAACCACTATCAAGAGGAGGAGGTTTGGCCATGTTAGGAGAATGGGAAGAGACCATATCCCCAAGAATATTTTATACAAAGAGATTCGAGACAGCTCTAGAAAGCAGGGTCACACTCTATGGCAGTAACATGATATGTGCAAAAATTATATGAAGTCATTCAACATCCATGTAGAAAGATGGGAAGAGTGCACAGAATCTTGTCCAATCTGGAGGAAACTTCTGGCACTAGGTGCAGCTCAGCATGAAGGGGCTTTGATCCAGAGGATAGGAGCAGAGCAAGAAAGAAGGAAGCAGCCTGCTGCAAACTTGGACTCCAACTCAGACAGCGCATAGATCTGTAAAACTTTTAACAAGCTGTGTCACTCTTGAATTGGACTTATCAGCCACAAGCAGATTTATCAGGCATCTGAGTAGACCTCTTACATGTACACCATGATCCAGAGAATAAAGAGTTGCCTATATATAGGCATGATCAAAAAATATCCATGTCACTACTATTATGGAGAGAATTTCAATGGAAGACAATCGTGGATTTCTTCTATAGCTAACATCACTAATGAAGTGAACTCAAACAACCGCAACCTCTGTTAGGATGTCAGGAAACAACCACAGTCCCAGTGTTATGATCAGATAGGAACATGGGACTAGAAGGGGCTTTCTGAGCCATCAAGTCCAGTCCCCTGTGTTCACAGACAACCATTTATCCAAGTATTCCTTAAATAGCTGCTTCAAACCCTCGCACACAATTCCCAGGCATGAATCAGAAACATGAAGAGCCCTTTTGAAAAGGGTAGAATACAGATCTAAAAAG